GTACGTAAGGTTGCTGTGAGTCGGAGCCTACTCGATGGCACTTTGTTTTATCAACAACATCATTGATATATAAAAGGAGCCCTGGTGGTGCAATGGTTAAGCACTCAGTGGCTAAATGAAAAGTAGGTTGTTTGAATCCTCCAGCTGCTCTGTGAGATAAAAGACCTGGAGATCTGCTTCTGTAAAGATTGTAGCCTAGGAATCCCTATGGAGCACTTCTACTCTGTCCTTTAGGGTGTGATGGAATTGACTCTGTGGCCCACAATGACAGTATTGATGTATAAAGATAATCTAAGCATATATGATTACCTAGAACCCAATTATTTAAGTCAGAATCCATTCTTCTTAATAGTTTTCCATGTAGAAGTATTTTAGTATTTATTTATTTTTAACATAACTAGGGAAGGGAAGGAATCCTGAATTCTTTAACCAATTTAAGTATAATTTATCTATGTTTTAGTTACTCTGGCAAAAGTGTGTTAGAATAGGAAGTAGAAATGAAATGTTTGAAAGAATCTTTTATAAATTAAAGTTATTAATGTACTGATTATGATCTGTTTTCTGTTTCCCTAAGTATAATCCTCAGAGGTCAGCAGAGCAAATTAGTTCACAGCTTGTATAGGCCAGGAGCTAAGCATGATTTCTTAGGTTTTTCAAGGATATTTGAAAAAGAAGAAGAAAATGTGATAGAGACTGTATGAAGCCCACAAACCTAAAATCTTTACTCACTGATGCTTTGTAATGAAATTTTGCCAAACCCTGATATCCTTGTGTGAATATTTCTTTCTCTCCCTAGTTAGAGTGATATGTAGTGAAGGGTTCAAGGGTAGTAGTGTGCCTGACACTGAGTCCTTACAGAACTGGTCCATACACCTGTGTTTCCACTGTGCCTCATTTAATATGACATTTATACTGATGCATGGACAGGTATTATGATTTTTAAAAATAAAATTGCACATTTAACATCCATGTTTTATTAAGAGTAAATCAAATGTTCAGTTAATTTCAGTGAGTCAATAGGCGAGGTATACATCTTTCTATAAACCAGATTTTTCTTTGAGTGGTATTTTTATATATACTTTTTTTTCCCTCAAATATAAATTTGTGGTGTTCAACTGTTTCATATATTTAAGTTTTAATAGATTAGAAACAATAACAAACCTGTGATCATGTACCAAGTTACTTATTGAATTATATACTATTTAAGAATATTTTCAGAGAAAATAAAAGGTCACATGAACCAGACATTGGGTTATTTGGTTTAATTTTCTGGAAAATAGGATTGCCTTTATCAGATCCCAGTGTCTCTTGTCCTCCTGTTTGGCTGACAGTTTGACAGTGGCTCTGCTGTGGTAGAGATGGTTGGCAGGAAGTTGCTTTGTCAGCAAAAGAGGGCTGTAAACTGAGCTGGAGAGCCATGTTCACCTCTTCTTGACCTGCTAATCAGTGATGGGTTTTGTCAACATCAGAAAATGTGACTGCCTGATTTCCTTTCAAATTGATTTTGACTTGGAAAGTAACGTTTTAGGCAAGGTTACTACTGTTCATGTCACTCTAATGATGAAATGCCTTATTGCCATGGACAAACTACATGCAATACTCACTTAATAAAAGTGAAATGTATGCTAAGCATTCTTTTGCAACCACGGTTTCTAGAAATTCCAAGTAGCATTTTAAAAAATGGTGTAAGCAGATTTGCTTCTCTAGAGCATGTAAATCCTTCTAGTTTAGCTTTATATAATATTTGAGGACAGTTTGTCTCCTTTCTTTAGAGATAAGGACGTTCTTTTCTCTTAACAAGTTGAAATTAAGATTAGCTTTGATAGGAAGCATTGTATGTCACTTTTATCATACAATCCGAATTTCTTCACTCTTGAATCAACAAAGACAATTAAAACATTGTAGCTGTTTTTTCCAAATGTATTTCATTTTCTTTCTATGAGTGTGTTTATTCAGCCGAGCAGCAGTCTATTTATTTTAGAATTCCAAACAAAATTTGAGGTGGCTTTGTTCCCCTCCCCAATAAAAACAAAACATATAGACAAGGACAAGATACAGATTAAAAACTAATTATATGAAGCAGAGAAATAGGTGTTACCAGCCACTGGGAATGTATTCGTAGTGCTTTTGGGTACTGAATTTGACCCAGCATTTTCTGACCAAGGAGTCAGTGGAGATACATTGAATTGTATAGTTCTGATGAAAGAAAATGACTTTTTTTTTTTTTTTTTTGGCTTAGGCAGACTTTATTTATTTATCTCTATCATAAATTCACCACCTACTTTTAAGAAAGAGTTTCAGTCTATCCACATGTCAGGGAATCCATAAACACATTGCCATGGAGTCATATCCAACCCATATTGTCTCTATTGGACGAAATAGAACTACCCTACAGGGTTTCCTAGGCTGTGATTTTTATGGAAGCAGACTTCCACATCTCTCTCCTGTAAAGCAGCTGGTGGGTTCAAACTGCCAACCTTTTGGTTAACAGCTGAGCGCTTAACCACTGTGCATGAGGGCTTCTTCTATCAGTTAATGGCTAACATAAAACAATGATTTTCATTTTAGTGTGCTAGCTCTGAAGCCTGTGGAGTTACACAGCCTACAGTTAGGTTTCTGCTAGGGCAAGTTATGTGAAAGAATAAAATCCTGTGTATTTTAGCAACTGTTATTTGTGGAGGGGAGGTGTCTGTTATTTGTAACCGAATTTAATTTCCAACTGACAGAGTTAAGTTCATTATTCTCATTGTACAGATGTGAACATAGAGACTTAGACAGTTTAAGTTGCTTTCTCATGCGAGATAGGTAGTGTAGAATAAGATATTTTGTTCTGGAATGAGACTGCTTGAGTTTGAATTTTGGATTTGGCATTATGACATTTATCAACTTATTTAATTTCACTGGCCTGTGATTTTCCCATATGTAAAATAAAAATAATATTAGGACATACATCATTGGCTTCTTACAAAATAAACAATATCCATTAGAGAACTAGCATTTCACTTACTTTTGCATATGGTCATGGTTCAATTAAGATTGAATCCTGAATTCTTTAACTAATTTAAATATATTTTATCTGTGTTTTAGTTAGTCTGTCAAAAGTGTGTTAGAATAGGAAGTAGAAATGAAATGTTTGAAAGAATCTTTTATAAATTAAAATTATTTGTGCATTGATTATGATCTGTTTTTTATTTCCCTGAGTATAATCCTCAGAGGTCAGCAGAGCAAATTAGGTCACAGCTTGTATGGACCAGGAGCTAAGCATGATTTCTTAGGTTTTTCAAGGATGTTTGAAAAAGAAGAAGAAAATGTGAATAATTAAAAAAAAAAAAAGCAACAATTTTGGATTTGATATTGTTATTGACTGTTTCGTTTAAAAATCTGATATTCTTCACCTAAATAAGCCTAAGTTGCTCAGTTGAGAACTTCCTCTCTTCAGTAAAACACTTCTAAAATAAGATTTGTTAAATGATTCCCAATAATCTTTATCAGAACCAGATAGACAAAAGTCAATAATAGCAAAACTCCAGTGTAATTTGTACATGTTCAGTTGATGTATAGCTAGATTACTGTATATTTCTTGGGAACCTTCATGGAAAGAATTTATATTCTTATTATAGAATGTTTTAAAATGAATAAAATAAAACATAAATAGTGTATATTTTGCCATGTTATATCCCAAGGCTGAAATTAAATGTTTTGAGGTTGGTAGGTGTCACATAGTAGTATTTCTGTTTTGCAGTTGGTGGTAAAGCTGAGGAATAAGAGTGGCTTTTTTTTGAAGCTGAGTAGTAAGAATGACTTTTTTCTCTGGCCCAAAATCAAAGATCTTAGCAATATGATCCCCAGGATGCCTTCAGTCCTGATTTTCTCCCTTCTTTTCTCCCTCCCTTTCCTGCTCTTTTTTCCCTACCCTTTTATTTATTCCTTTTTAATTCAACTGCTTTTACCACTTAACCTTGAAGATCAGATGATTGAGTATGTGTATTATTATGTACTATTTAAACAGTGTAAAACTAAGAGTTTCTTAGACTGGTGTCTGCTGGTTACTTTGCAAAGTACTGCATATTTGTGCTACTCCTTTCCAGCAGTGACAATAATATGACTATTTTTTTTTTTTTTTT